ACTCAGCAAACCATGCTGTGGCAGGCGTCCCACATAGAAAGTAGAGGAAGACGAGCATGGATGTTAGCTTAGGGCCAGTCTTCCTCAGCAAAAAAGAGGAGGATTGGCAACAGATGTTAACTCAGGGCTGATCTTCCTCAAAAAAAAAACAAAAATGGGACAGAGCAATGCACATGACATGCTCTCGTTTGTATTTTTTAAGACAGACCTGTGAATAATCATGTTCGTCTATGCATAGGATGTCTTCACAAAGAAACCTGGGAAGCTGATAACCGTGATTGCCCCGGGGAGTCTGAGTGGAAGGACTAGTTTTTGTTGTATAACCTCTGGGACTGTTTAACATTTTTACTACATGTATTCCTTCAAGATTTGAAAACTAGTTAATGTAATAGTAATAAGTTTTTTTTCAGGGATGTTGCAAAGAGTAAAGTAACTACATAAAGCCCTTACCAAAGGGCCTGGCACAGAAAAAGCACTCCGTAAATGTTAGCTGTTGTGCCCAGCGTTAACAGTTGTTGAAGTACCCGTTCATTTGTATGTTCATTCGTGCATAAACTAATGAGACATCAGCCATCCTAAGCCAGCCATGCAGCTAGGAGCAAATCGTTTCTCAGCCAGCCTTGCTGCGCTGCGTACAGAGTGAACTTGGTGTAAAGGTCACTCTCGGTGTGGCCTGTAGACACAGGCCTCGGCGTGCCTGGCTCCCGGCCTGGCCTCCCTCAGAAGGGTCTGGCTCTGCACCTCTGCAGGTCGCCATCGGGGCTGCTCTCCAGGGCCCACCTGCGCTGGCTGAAAACTTGTTTGGGGCACAGTGTGGAGGGGCAAAGCAGCATTGCTCTCAGAATCTGGGTGCCACACGAGGGGCCAGCCCCTGCTGGTGGTGAGTGTTCACAGTGCCAGCAGCCGGCCCTGATCGAGTGCATGCGAGTCCCCAGGACTCCACCCAGGCTTCTCAGAGCTGTGAAGGGAACCAAGTAGGTGGGTCACCTTTCGCTTGGAACAATCAGTATTTGCAGGATACCTGTGGGAAGCAGCTGGGTGTATTCTGTTTCTAAGAAAACAAACACCAACACTGGGCACGTAAAACCCCGGGGGCCAGGTTCACGCTGGCTGGTGTGTGGGTTGCCACATCGTGTGTGTTAATCCAACCCGAGCCTTTATGGAGGCCCTATTCTCTGCATTAGTCAAGATGAGAGAGGAGAGGGCAGGGATAACTCACCTGCTGGGAAAGGGCGTGGCTTTGCTGTGGCAAGGATCTGAGTGCAAATCCTATTTCTGCCTCTTCCTGGCTGTTGGATGTTGGGCAAATTATTTAACCTTCCTGAGCTTCAGTCTCAATAAGTATGACAAATCCGACCTCGTATGGTTGGTTGCAGACAGTATAAAATGAATGAATATCTGCATAGCGTGCTTGATGCAGTACCTGGCACACAGCAATAATGAACGCATGCAGTTGCTCTCCTGTTGTTATTGAGCTAAACGTCCTACAGCTTAGTGGGAAGACAATGTTCACACACACAAAGTCAGTTACGTAATAATAGGCATTAAATAGCATACACTGAAGCATTGAAATGAGTGGTGTTACGGACCCTTTCGACAGCTTGATCTAGCTAGAAGTCCTCACCACAGAAAAATTGACACAGGTGCACACTGAATGTTGCACACAACTTTAGGGGATTCACGCACAACTCTCCCTGCCTACCTATCTCATGCTCGGGCCGGCCCATTAGGGGTCCTTGAAGCGCTGAGCTTTAAGCATACAGCAGGAACTCATAAAGGGCGTTCATCCGTGGAAGCAGAAGTGGTTAGGGAGACCTTCCTGCAAGAGGTAAAAATGTGAACTAGGGCTTGAAAGAAGAGAGAATTGAAATAGGCCAAGAGGAGCCGGCAGAAACGCGAGTGGAGACTTGCCGAGAGGACTTGTAAACGCAGCCCGCAACGCCGGAGAATGGGGGACAGCCCCCTGACACAACAGCAACATAGCCCTGGAGGTTCTGGGCTGGGCCTTGGGACCCAGACTGCCTGGGCTCAAATCCCAGGCAAGCAGCCTGCCAGCTGTTTGACTCTAGGCACATACTTAACTTCTCTGTGTGTAAAATGAGGATGACAATAGAAGCTACTCACGGTGCTTGTGAGGGTTCAGTAGGATAGCGTATTGACGGGGACTGGCATATGGACCGGTGTCCAGCATAGAGTAAGCTCTATGTAGTAATAAACTGCTTTTATGATCAGGTTTTTTATTATGGTGCAGAAATATTAGAGAGGGTCTTGATTACAAAGCCGAGCCCTTTGGGCTTTTCCTGGGGGTATTGGGGAATCCCTGGAACTTTCTGAGCCGGAGAGGAATAAGCTGAGTGGTACTGTCTGAGCATCCCGTGGTCAGGATGGATGAGATTGGAGGAGACAAGGACACGAGTCCTGTAAGGAGCTAGCCCTCACTCGAGGTGCTGGGAGCCAGGACTGGGGAACAATTAAAATGGGGGTGTTGTCAAAGCAGGAAGCCAGAATGTGGAAAGTGCCAGGATCAAAGGTTGCACGGACCAGTGAGGCAGCCACTGTCGCTGCTGGGCACTTGAAAAGTGGCTAGACCAAATCAGGATGTGCTGGAAGTGTAAAATGCACAGAGTTTGGAAGATTTAGTACCAAAAAAAGAGTGAAATCTCAATTTTTTACATTGATTTACATTTCAATTTTGGTCATATTGGGCTAAATAAAATCTATTAAAATTAATTTTACCTTTTTCTTTTTTTTTCACTTGGCTACTAGAAAATGTAAATGGACATATGTGGCTCACATTCCTATGGGACAGTACTTGGTCTTAGGAATTAAAGGAGGGCTGACAAAGGATGCCTCGGTGACCAGGACAGTGATGGTGTCACTCATTGCGAAAGGGACATCAGAATGGGTGGGGACAGGCAGCGGTGTGTCCTTGGGGTCTACCTGTGTTGTGTTGGAAGCCACTGTGCAGCATCTGAGTGTCTATCTAAAGAGACCTTCACTGAGACAGTGGGATTAGGGTCAAGGGGTAGGGCTGAATGTGAGGTGCCTTGGTCACAGCAGGAGTCTGAGGGGTAGAACGTGGTCTGCCCTGACTGAGGACTCCTGCGGGTCAGGCAGGTGCTGAGTAGTCCACAGCTGTTCTCTCATTTCCTCCTGGAAGCCCCCCCAGGAGGTAGGTCCTATCACTGTCCCTTCCCGTTTTACAGATGAAGGAAGTGAAGCAATTGGGGGTGGTGAGTGAGGAGCCAGCGTTCAGGTTTGTCTGACTGTGAAAGCCCTCGGTCCCTCAGCTGCAGGCGTGGTCCAGGACTGGGCCCCTGAGGATACCCAGCCAGCAGGAGGAGGAGAGCTGTGGCAGGAGGACCAGTGGACAGGCAGGAGCAGTGCAGTCTAGCAGCCCCGAAGCCAGCAGGAGACACTTCCCAAAAGGAAGTGGCTGTTAAGAAAGCGAATTTAGACTTGTGTGGCAAAGAAGTATGTTAAACAATAAGAGCTATTTCAAACTGAAGGAGGCTTTTTAATCCTGTAAATTGAGTTCATTAAAAGGAGTGAGAATTTTCCAGGGCTTGTTCAGAGCTTTGAAAAGTTAAGCATAGATAGAAAGTGGTGTTCTTCTAAGTTGGCCTTTTTTTATAATTCTCAGGAAAAATAAACATGGGTAGAACCAAGGGGCAGAGATTCTGGCGAGCATTATTGGCGTTTCTCATAAGGACGTAGATCAGAATCACCTGGGAAGCTTCTAAATGCAGATTCACAGGCCCTGCCGCAGACACAGGGCGTCAGGCTCTTTCCTAAGGAGCGCCCCAGGGGTTCCAGACACCGCGCAGTCAGGAGCACGCTGCTCAGGCTCGGCGGCTCTCTCCTGTGGATTTATTACCCGGGCTTGGCTCATTCTCCCGGCTCCCTGCCAGCTTCGCCGGGGCACAAGCGGGTGACGGGATCATCCTGTGTCTTTAGCAGTAGCCTTACCTGGAATCTGGAGTGGTTCTTCTTTAAATAAGAAGAACCAATCCTCCTTGCTTCGTCTTCTCCAAAGGCCACTTAACTCCAGCTCCCTACTGGCGTTGCCATGGGGACCAGCCACCCGAAATAGCAGCCGGCCCTGAAGGGACCCTCAGTGGAGGCCATGCCTCCTTTGGTCCAGTGCTTCTGGCTGGCACTCGCCCCCACTTCCTCCCAATTCCTTGCTTGTATCCTTGAGGTTCAGAGGCAAGCAGTATAGAGTGCTGGTTAAGAGGATGACCTTGGGAGTCAGGTGGCCCTGCATCCCAGCTCTGCTAGGTAAATCATTGTGCTCTTCAGCAAGACTTTTCAACCTCTCTGTGTCTTCATCTGTGAAGCAGAAATGATAAAAGAATTCATCTGTAAGAGGATTAAATGAAATGATTCATGGAATTTACTTACCTGGCACATGCTAAGTTCTCAACAAATGGTGGTAGTTGTCAACTTTTATCATTACATTATTTTGATTATGATTATGATTATTCAGGGACATGTGCCCTCCACGGCAGGTAAAAATCAACTAGTCAAAGATACCAGATAAGGCCCCCAGAGGGTTTGCAAGTGTAAAAGCGGGGCTACTTTCAGAGGACGAGCTCTCTTGAGGTCTTGAGAGAGAGCTGTTCTCATTCTTTTCATCCTGCTGGTGCTGAGCCTCTGTGAACTTCTCTTGGAAGAGCCCCGGTCACTCTCTCTTCCATCCCAAGCCACATTTTCCACCGCTCCACACAGCTCTTCCTCATCTCTCCCTCTCATTTCCCTCTCCATCCCGCACGGCAGCAACTTCCTCTTTCTGGCCTTCACTCTCAAGACTGGATGGGAGCAGGGCAGACACGCAGCCGGTCACAGGTTCAACCGCCCCTGGCCTCATGGCCAGCCAGCTTTGGTTGGGGAAGAGGAGAAAAAAATTTTGTGTCTTACCTCTCCCTCTTTTCAAGTCCTTGAGTTTGATGTGTTCGGCAATGATGGCATGATAATAATAGAAGTCATACCTAATCTCTGTAGGTTATTTACAGATTACAAGACAGATTCGCAATTGTGTATCAGTCGGGGTTCAGTTACAGCAAACTTTAGAAAGAGCTCTTGGCAGCCTTAGCAGAATGGGCTTGAGTACCCAGTGCCCTGTTCATAATCAATGGAAGGGCCCGGGGAGGCAGGCTCGCAGAGGAGCCCCAGCACCAACTTCCAGACATCACCACAGAACAGGCCCCAGACCCAGGAGGAAGTGAAGAACCGGAAGGCCGCCACAGCCACACAGCTTCTTGTGACCATAGTGCGGGTGACTGGACCCTGGGATGCCACCACCTCCACAAAGAGCAATTTGCCCACCACCATGCTTGCCAGCAGAAATGAGCCAAGCAGCAAGAACTGGCCTTGTCACTTCCACCTTCCAGGTCTCTCCTAAATGCATCCGGTCGGCGGAGTCCTTGTCATCCGGAGCTGCAAGAGAACCTGGGCGTCTTAGTCAGCTCAGGCTGCCATCACAAAATACCACGGCCCGGGGGGCTTGAGCCACAGAAATTCATTGTCTCGCCGTCCTGGAGGCTGGAAGTCCAAGATGAAGGTGCTGGCAGGGTTGCTTTCTCCTGAGGCCTCGCTCCCTGGCTTGCAGGTGGCCGTCTTCTTCCTGTCTTCACATGGTCTCCCCTCTGTACTCGTCTGTGTCAAAATTCCCCCTTCTTATCGGATTAGGACACCCCCTAAGGAGTTCATTTTAACTAAATTAGGCCCTATCTCCAAATCCAGCCCATCCTGAGTTACTGGGGGTCAGGACTTCAGCATATGAATGTGAGGGGACACAATTTAGCTGATACCACCAGGAGATGTACTTTTTACTTTCCACCCCTGCAGCTCAGCAAGGCACCCCAGGAGGAGGAGGACAGAGCAACTGCCCAGCGCCAACCGTCAGGGACCGCATAGTGTTTAGAGCCTTTTGCTTGGGATGTGATCAGAGGACCCAGGTGCTCAGCGCTCAGCAAGTCTTCTTTCCTTGTATTACATGCACATGCTCATTTTATCTGACGCCTTAAGAGTCCTTGGAGATACAAAAGTGTTATTATCCCCGTTTTTCCCATGAGAAAATTGAGGCTTAGATCTGTTACAAGTCCTGCCCAGGGCCCTCGAGCTAGGAAGTGGCAGGGCAGGAGTGAGCCCAAGTCCCTTGCTCTGATCCTGAGTCTGTCCCGGGAACTAAAAACCTCCAAGGCACAGCGCCCTGCAGGGGGGGCCAGTGAATGTCCAGTGAGCAGCCATTACTGAGATCCAGCTCAGTTCTATAGGATTTTCTGATTTTTCCAGAAACCTTTCCTTCTTTTAAAGTGAAATCTCTCCATTTTTCAAATGTTGACAATAAATTTAAGGTTAAAACACACACACACGCTACTGAGTTAACCCTGTGTGGGGTCCAACCAAACCTGCCTGCAGCCTGGACCTAGCCTGCGGGCTCGGAGGGAAAATCAGAAGTGTTCATGAGGACAGAAGGACTTCTTTGGGGCCTAACTCTGTCCTCCTTGCGCTCCGTCTCAGGCCCATTAGAAGGACGTTGCTGCACGGTCACATTTCCTTGAAATTCTTCTTTTGCCGTCTGAACTTTTCTCATTTCCCACCAAATACGTGGGTTTGCTCCTGTTAAGGAGCCCAGGGGCCCACGTTTATTAAGCATTGTATTTGCAGGGCGCATCATTGACAGGTGCCCACGTGCCCTCCCCACAACCCTGTGAGATGGACATTGCCGTCCCCCTTTAGCAGAATAGGGACAGACAGGGAGCAGGGGTAAGACTGAGAGTTGAAGGCAAGATCAGAGGATAAGTGGACGCCTGTTGTCCTTTGTTTAGCGTGCTCTTGCCCTTTTATTACAGGCACGGGGGTGTGCTGCTCATGAACGCTGGCCTCCCTCCAGGGGTTCAGTTACTGGCCAGGCCGTGATGACTTGTGATTCAGATCCTGGGGCTCCCTGGGGCCTCCCTCCCAGAGTGTGCTCTGTGACACACTTTCCATCCCCACCCTCCTCTTCCTGCTTCAGGCCCCTCCAGACAAAGATTAAAATGTTCATATTTCCCTAATGGGTCATCTTGTTCCTAGGAATTTCTAGGAATGTGAGAATTCCGATGAACAGCAGCATTAAAACCAGTGCAGATTGTTTGAATAGCTAAATACTGCAGACATTGATTCTGATCTGTTAGCCACAGTAAAAATGAAAACCGCAGAAGCGACAGCCAGAGTTTTACCAAACTGGGGCTCTGCACAGGCCTGGGCCCTTCTGGGTGGCACAGAGCACTGGTGGCTCCAGATCTCCAGGTGCTGACCTCAGTCCTTGCCTGGTAGCAGCAGCAAGAACATTCTTGCTTAGCTTTTCGGTGTGAGAGGGGAGGCCTTTCCTCCGGGGCACTAGGCAGACAGACAGATGCCTTCTGGACAAGAAGGAGTGTTGCACAAACATGAAGCAATCAGTAAGCCCACAGCTCCAGGTTATGGAGTGTCAAGGTCACCCTTGATTAAGAACCACACTCAGGACTGATGCCCTGAGTGTTTGTGAATGCAATTGCTTGGAATTGCAGCCTTTCCTTAGTACAGTGGGAAGTGTGGCTTGTCGGATGAGGGTGAACTTGGAACAGTTTTTCTAACTTCAGTTGCCTCCTCTGTAAAACGAGGATGAAATGGTACCGTACCTTTCAGGATGGATAGTGAGGCTTCACAGACTGATGCATGTGAAAGTGACGTGTGCACCCTGAGGGTCCATACAAGTATCAGGTGCTGTTTGCGTTGGAAGCTATTCTTGAAGTAAGAATAAAGCAAGCTTTTTATCCACCTAGTAGCACAAACAAACAGCCAGACGTCCTTGCCATTGAGGGAAGACCAAAGAAAAAGCCTCTGAAGGCGCAGAGATGTTGGGAAAGGTTTGTTTCCCAGCCTCTGGTCTGGTTCTGCCCCAGCCCAGCTGTTGAGAAGATGCAGAAGCTGCCAGTTGGGAGGAAATCCTAGCTAGATCTCCAGCTCCTATAAGCACCTCCTCCCAGCCCCTCAAGAATCAGACAGCTCTGGCCCTCCTCATGCCACAACTCAGCAGACTGACTTCCTGGAAGAGGCTCCCTAAATTGCAAGAATATAATTTTGATCTGATGTCTCCACAGGAAGAATGTTATAATGAGATTATATTCATTTCCAGTGGCTGAGTGTACAGCTTTTTCTAGGAATGACCACAAATACCCCCTTTAGTTGACTTGCCAAAGCTCTTCCTATACAATATTCAGCAGACAGTTGTTTGTTTGTGTCGAATAGTCTGTGAAGCCGTGACAATCACCCATCTCCTAAACTTTGTTAACTGCTTTTCTGGGTGGGCTTGTCCATACACCAGCAGAGGGAAGCCGACTTTGAGAAGAGAAATTGCAACTGAGTTGGGAGCCGAGAGAGGTTGGCAGGGCAGGAGGAGGGGCTGACGCTCCACCTGAAGCAGAAGAGAGGGGTCCCCAGAGGAAGGGAGCAGTCTGAGTGACAGCAGAGAAGGCCCTCTGGGAAAGAGCAGGTCAGCACGAGGAGAGCGGCAAGGAGCCCTGAGCCGGTAAGTGTGAACTGTCAGTTGTAGCTGTTTTTAATCGTGACTGTAGTACAGTCAGGAAGTAAGAAAGCGCTCCATGTGCTCGATGCAGAGTTTCTCGCCAGTTTTAGAGGGACCTCCCCAAGCGTTTTATAAAAGAGCCTGACTGTGGCCCTGATGATACGTGTGGGCCGTGTGGGCCTGCATGCACTTACAGGACAACTTGCTCAGGTCTTGGAAACTTTCTGCCCTGGAGGTTGAGAAGAAGAGGAGAATGCTTGGCGTTATTCTCATGCAAAGGGAACATTTAGAAAGTCCTTAGGATGCAGCCTGGAAACCACAGGCCGCTCAGAAAGGGTGTCATGTTCGCATTCTGGAGGCTGGGGGCCAATCCTCAGAACCAGCGCCAGCTGGCAGGGGAGCCCGGTTTAACATGCTGCAGGGAACAAAATGTGGAACCAGCGCTGTGCATGGTGAGGCTGCCTCAGTCCCAAATCAAAGGCTCTGTGAAGAAGCGCTTGCCTGGGAGCACACAAGGGGCCTGGGCCAGGCCACTGGGGGTGAGCAAAATCACCAGCAGGAGACCCTTGCCTCTCCTTGGATGGGGCAGGACGGCTGAAGAATCTGAGGAAGACACAGCTAGTGAGGGAGGGAGTTCAAACGAGGTCGTCCGAGGCCTAGGACAAGGCAAGGCCACCCTGCCCTGCCATTTGATTCCTCCCAGTTTCCTGTGCTACTGGGGTTTCCTTGTTTAGGGGAATCCTTTGCTGGCTGTCCCCTGCCTTCCATTCTGCCCTAACGCTGGAGTGCTGCAGAATTGCCCAGGGGTGCGCTCAGAGAGGGCTGATGCCCATGGCCCACCTGACCCAGTCAGTGGCAGTTCTGATTCCTTGTGCTGGGTGTGACCCCCCAGGATAAATAGGACAGCAGCCGCTGTCTGTGGGGCGCCTTGGTCCTGTGCTATACCCCACATGTGCATCAGCGAACTGAGTCCTCAAAGACAGCACTATCCTTCTGTTACAAATGAGAAAACTTGGGCTCATAGAGGTTAAATAACCTGCCCAGTTGCACCCAGCTAGGAAGCGGCAGAGGCAGGGTTCAACTCAGGAAGGGGAGCTTGCTGATTACGCTGCATTTCGTCAAAGTTCTGCACACAGTTAAAAGCACCATTTATTTGTACATTTGCCCCAAAGCTGCCTCTGATCTCAGAGGGTAGAAACCCTGCCCAAGTCCTTGACCTGGGCCACTGAGAGCATTCCGAGTGTGGTAGAACTCGGGGAGTGCCGTGGTGCCTGCAGGTGGCCCCCCTGGAGCCCGTGGGTTGCTGGCGGCTTTTGCAGCCTTGCCTGGTGTGGATCTGCTTGCTGCAGCTGCCTCTCCAGAAGGTTGAGTCAGCCTGGGTTTGCTGCTGGCGCCACAGTGCCCTAAGACTTTGCTGAGCCCTTGCATAGCATGAGGAGGCACACCTACTGTCCACCTGCTCTGATGAGTCATAAAGCTGCCACACTGCTGCCAGGCCTGCACCACCATGCCCAGAGAGGGCAGAGCCATATATGGCAGGGGCACCAGGCTGCACTTTTCCCAGCCCGACTTCCCCTTGGAATATGCCGATGGACAACCAGACGGAGCGAAGCTCAAGGTCCAGGATGTCACCTTTGTTTGCAGCAGGTGGCTGTAGCAAGAGGAGAGGGCAGCCTGGAATCCAAGGTCTCAGGCCAAGAGGAGAGGCAGCCCACAAACATGGAGTTGGGGCCAGGACTAGCACGTGCCCTGGCCCCCAGGATGGAGCCAGAGAGGTCAGAGGAGGGAACAATAAAGTTTTATTAACTATTTCAGGCTTCAGGCTGTTCGTGTGTCCCATTTGACATTTGCTCTGGATCTGCCTATGACTGAGAATCTTCCAGCCGAAACATTCCCACTTTCTCTTGAATAAAAACGTCCTTATCTGCCTAACTAGCATTCTCCAAACGATTGCAAATCTTGATAGCACCTAAAAATGTACCCTTTGTGCAAAGTTCTCCAGAGGCACTCTCTTTTGCCGGTTTCTGTTGCCAGTAATAGTTGGGTAATAGAGCCAAAATGAAATAAAATCAAACCCTCTTAAGGTACATAGTGGTAATAATATTCAGCCACACGTGTAACGTGGCTCACTTTTGCCAGAGGCTCCCCCAACTACTGCAAATGTTTATGTGTATTTGTTTCCTCTTAGAAAACACTAGAAACGGCTGCTTTTATGCCATATGTTGGGTGCAGGGATAAATCTAGTACTGGGTTTCTGCAAAGGATTTATGAAGGTGCTCAAACGGGTGACAAGCTTAGACACCTAGGCCACCACCCGAATTGCTGAGGGGGCCTTTTAGAAATTACCTGGAAGAGGCCATGAAGACTGGGAAAATGCGCACTTTTCCTCCAAAGTCACTCAAGGCTTCACTTAAACAACTTGAATGCTTAAACAACTTAAAGAGGACCATTGTTCACCTTTTAAAAAATTCTCTCCAGATTTCAGGTAAAAACAGTAATCAAAGATGTCGAGCAAAACAGCAAGCACCAACAACATCGCCCAGGCAAGGAGGACCGTGCAGCAGCTGAGGCTAGAGGCCTCCATTGAGAGAATAAAGGTAAGAGGCTTGATCGCATTAGACATGATTTCTGCCGAGTTCCCACTGCTCTCCAAAGGCTAGGCCACATTTCAGAGAAGGTAAGGCCATTTAACTCAGCTTGGTCCCCAGGTTTTCCTAGAGCAAGCTGAGCATCTCAGAACCTTAACTTTCATTTCTGCTAACACGGGCTGCATTTCAGGAAGTGCAGGGGAGCTCAAAAGGCAGAGTTAGCCTAGGTCTGTGTGGACAGAAAACCTGAAGCCCGAGAGAGGATTTCCTGAGGACCTGCCTTCCCTGAAGGAACTTGGTCATGTCTCACGATCCCCATGTTCTGCATTGAGACGGGGGTTCCCGGTGGACTCTGTAAACAACCTCATCATCCGTCTGGAATTTCTTAAGTGTTCTAGAGTTATCAGTGCAGCTGAGGCAGCCTTGCATAACAAGTCGACAGTCAGGGTCTCCTTTTATAGAGAATGCAGCTTTTAAGTGTCTGTGGCCTTTAATGACCACATTCTGCATCCAGGGTGAGTCATGCCAGCCTTAGAGCTGGAAGAAATCGGAAGGTGTTTGTTAGGCTACCTGACTTTGAAGTCTTTCCCCCCCAAATCCCAAGAGAGGACTCAGCAGCGAGTGCCCTGGAATGTTGTGAGTAATGCTGTTTCCTAGAAACTGAAGCAGTCACCTGATAAATTCCTCTGGGCCCGAAGATAGTCACCTGTCTTCAAAACATGAGGCTGCCTGTGCTCCTCGCCCGAGGACGCTGATCTGATTATTCCCAGGGATGTCCTACCCAGACTACTGAGCAGGGGTTGGCATCTTCCATTTTTAACTCAGGCCAGAGTAAGGCCCTGCATCTTCTCGTGCTGGTTTGTCTGTATTTCCCTAAGCCCGGCCTTTAACAGTAAGTCTGGAAGCTCCACTAGAGCTTGCCTCTATTCGCTCAGTTTTGGCTCCAAGCCCGTAGTTCAGTCCTTAACCTCTGTTCTGCCTTCCAGTTGATCATCTTATTGGATAGAAACTAAGATACCAACTTCCCTCGATTCACTCTCCCCTCCCCATTTTGAGAAATTTCAAACCTAGGGTAGAGTTGTAACAACAAACATCCGTATACCCTTTGCAGAGATCCCCAATCATTAACATTCTGCCACACGTGCTCTCTGTCTATACACACACAAAACAGATTTTTTTCTTTAAACCACGTGAAAGTTATTTACAGATCTCGTGACCCTTCCCTCCCAGATACTTCACTATCTATTTCCTAAATCCAAGGGCATTCTTCTGCATGACCACAGGACATTATAACATTCACGATTATCTAGACACATTATCTAACAGTCCATTTTTGAAGAATCCAGGCCACTCATTTTGCAGAATGGCCCTCATTTGGATGGGATTTGCTGACGATGAGATTCCAGCTGAATGTTTTGGCTGGAGTACTCCGTGGCTGGCAGCGCGTCGTCAGTGCTCACGCTAGGAGGCATGTGATGTCAGTTTATCTGATCACTTGGTTAAGGAAGACCTTATCTGCCAGACTTTTCCATTTAAAGGTACCTTTTCCCTTTTGAACTATCAAGTCATCTGGGAGGGGTACTCTCTGAGCCTCTGATTACCCCGTCCTCCAACAGTCTTCCATGCAGTGGGTCAGCATTCAGATACCCTTTGAACGTGTGTAAATACAGTATTTTCTTTCACGTTTGTTTGCTCTGATTTGTCCACGTGTCAGGTTTCGAAGGCGTCCGCGGACCTCATGTCCTACTGTGAGGAGCACGCCAGGAGTGACCCGTTACTGATAGGGATCCCCACTTCAGAAAACCCCTTCAAGGATAAAAAGACTTGCGTCATCTTATAGAGGAAGCGTGAAGCCGCTCCTCACCTCCTCTCCACAAAGCGGGTCAGGAGCAGCTCCTTCACGAGCTTTGCCTGCAGCTTATTCGGGAACCACTGCTAATAACTAAAATGCTCTTAACTTGGAATCACGGACTCTGAAGTCTTTATTTTCCAAGTTACTCTTTCTCTAAAATCCCCTTTACTGATTTCATCCAGAATAACAATCTTATTTTCCATTTGGTAACTATGGTGTCATATTGGGCTGCTGCTTAAGGAAAGTCAGTCTGGGACTTTTAAAAAAACACAATTATATACTTTTAAATATGAATGATCCAGTTCTGTCAAAACCTAAATTACCTAAGCACCTGTCTAGATTAAAATGCCAAGAATAACTTCAGTCCTGAAAGCTTTATGTCACAGTATATTCTTAATAGGGTTGTGCCAACCTGTACAGTATACAGGTGTGAGGTGTGTTTTGTGTGTATATATATATATATGTTGTTGTATATACACATATCAAAGCTTAATTTCCTGTTAAAATTTCCCTGTCTCCACACCATCAGTTCCTCAACTCCAGAACTTAGACCTGTATCTTGAGCTATGTGTCGATAGAATAAAAATCCTTTTCATATAGTTATTGTACAAAATGTAAAGGACATCCTCGAGATTGTATTCATTGTAATCAAGTAGCGAAGTCCTCTCTCCTCTCTTGAAATCTTGCTGACCTCTTAGGCTACAACAAACTGTGTCAATTAAAGTTTAAAAACTGAACTGAAAGCCCTTCTATAATATGAGGTATGAATTCACAAGGAGCCTTTTGGGCTTCAGGGATCCTGAATTGAGGAAAGGGGAGGAGACCCTTGGGGAGCCCCCCAGCAGCTGTGCCCCAAGGCTCATGTTCTTTGCTGGATGAGGGGTGGACGCCTCTGAACCTTCTACCCTAAGGACGGGAATGAGACAGGCAGAGTGCCCGTGAGCCCAGCCGAGAGGAAAGCGGGTGTGTCTGAAAACCAGCTGCCCTTCTTGGCTGAACTTGGTGATTTCGCGCTCTCTCTCTGTCTCCCTGCCTCCCCTTGATCTTTCCTCTGCTGGTAGAACATCTGTTTTCAGAGGGGATGTTCACCTCCCCAGCCCCAAGTGAGTGCAACAAGGTTGGAAAGAAACATCAAAAAAATAACGGTATCAAGACATGGAAGCCCTTTTCCAATGTGTGCAGTGTCATCCTTACCTTGTCCACAGACGGTCCAGCAGAGGCCCCCCAAAAGAGGCTTCCACTCACGGCTGCATACGTGGGCCCCAGGGCTCCAGCAGCTGGGCAGTGGGCTCCTAGGCTTTCCTCTGGGCCTGAATATATCCCTCACATCCTCAGAATTTCCAGTGGGGAAAAGGAATCTCCTATTCCCAGAGGGCGTTTTAACTTTATCAAAGAGCAGGAGAGGGTCTGAAGGCCCCAACCCGCACATTAGGGCCTTTGATATTTTAACTGGTCTTCAGTTCATTAAGAGTAACTCTAATGAAGGATTAAAAACTATTCTCAAAAAAGATTCAACCCCAAGAAGGAGTTATTTACAACAGTTTTCCCTGGTTCTTTACATTCTTGCCCTGCAATGCAAGCCCCTTTTAAAAATCTAATATCGTGCTAGTTGTGGGTGAACAAATGCAGTCCTATTTTTAAACTGCTCAAATGCCATCAGTATTTCTCCAGGCCTCCTATCTATTCAGCCTGCTGAGCTGCCCTCACTTGTCCAAGACCTTGTGAAAATCAGGCCACTGCCCTCAGCCTCTGGTCATCGAGCGCTTGGTCCTGCGATGTGCCCAGTTCCCAGGTCAATTACGGGCACCTGTTCAGGAGAGAGAACGCTTTGACCTTTCAAAAGGTGGAATTTGAAATATACACTAAAAAGACAACTTTACATTTAAGGCTTCACTTAGACATTTTTTAATAAGTATATTTTTCTACTGATAGTCTCCGAACATTAATCTTATTTTCACTCTGATTTTTAACATGTTTCTTTAAATATTTATAATGCAGCTTGTAACGAAATATTTTCATGAAATTAATTATACTGTTATGTGCACATTTTTGGTAGCAAGCATAGTTTATTCTTTAGCTAAAATGTGTTCTTTTACCTAACAGAAAACAAATGTGTTTTGCTATATACTTGTTAATATGCTTGGAGTCGTAAGGAATGGTCTTGAGCTCCCAGGAGATTGATTTCCTCTTATTTTTGCTGGCCGGGTCTTACAGAGGCCATGAGTATGAATGTCATGTGACTTCCTAACCAAGTGTAGGGCCTGTTCAAGAAAAGTGAAATCCCATTCTTTGATGCTGGACCCAGGGGGGAAAAATTGTAGCTAAATGTTGGTTTACTCATAGCTAGAGAGCTATGTGAGAAAATATATGTATACATATATATGATATGCAGGAGGCACTTTTATTTATCAGGTTTTATTCCACTTGTGAAGCCACAGTTTAACTGCTCTGCAACAGCTGGTTTGTGATAATGATGGACAAATGCCCACTGTGTATTTTTTCCAACTACCACTATAAGGACACAGTTAATCACATGTACACATGCCGCTTCTTGGCTCCATCTCCATGAAGCTCTCTGAATACGTTCCCTGTGTTTTGTCTTTCATGCTGCTTCTGTTAGCAGTGCCCTCTCTCCTTTTCCATTCTTATGTTTTCATTAGTTTATCACCAGTCTGTCTAATTGAGGCCTCAGGAGCATGGCAAGATATGCTAGGCAAAATTTCATGACTCCAAAGTATTTTTACAGAAACGTTTTTTTACTAGAGAAAACACTTTATATACCAAGTGGTTCACAAGCTATAGGTTATAGCTGCTTTTTTTTTGGTAAAAAGAATCAGGTTTTTACATTTCCTTATAAAAATAAAAAGTGCCATATTTATCTTTTAAATGAAAGGCCTGATTTGCTTTCTCTCCATTTGAACTATTTTTGTACTTTACTAATCTTTAAACTAGCATAAAAAAAAAATTATACCAATGATTCAGTAATCTGGAGGCATCGATTGGTTTGGGTAGTAGAGAGTGTGCCAGACTTTCTCTTTCGATGCCTTCTGCTCAACCAATTTGCAACGACGATTGTCATCTGAGCGATTACTATGAATTTTGATTTAAGATCTATATATGCCCAAGAAGTGAATTACAGTACGTCAGTCCTTTCTCAATAAAATAAATATAATGCCAGAGTGTTATGAATTGTCTTGATTTCTTTTACGGTAGATCTATCTATAGGAAAAAAATAGATTGAATCAGATACAAATTTATGTATATATTAAAATAGAGCACTTACCTAAAATTGAGTGTTCTGGATCTCAGCTTTGGATCGTTTCTAGCCGATCCCGTGTCCCTGTGCCATGTGACTTTGGCCAAGGCATTTCATCTCTCTGGGGCTCCATTTCACCATGTAAAACTAGGGGCTTGAAGTAGATGATGGCCAAGACGGCGTCGTGCTCTCCGACGCCTCGGTCCCCTGGCCAGCTCCTCTCCTGGTCCTGCCCACATGTTGGTGCTATAAGCTGCTTCACAGATAAAATCAGTTTGTCTGTCGTGCTTGCTCATTTAATAGCTTATGAAAGGCCTTTTCATTATACAGCTTTTTTTTTCTAGTTTTATGGACTTGATTACTGTAGTAATGTCTTATTTTTAGCCATGTAACTATAAACATATTCTCGTGATGTCTCAGTAAATTTGCATTTGATATATAGTTGATGGGATTTTGTTAGTTTATAACATTCTTTGGCAACTCATCTGTCCAGCATCTTATTAACCTAAACATTGTGATCATTGTTTGGAAATCTGTCCTATGGGAAGAATAAAAGCATTTCCTTCACAGCTAACCTGTTCACAGATTTGAGAGAAGTTTCATTAAAGCACCATTGCTCTGTTTCCTGGGTCCGTGTCTCATTGCGTCGTCCTACCTATGTTGTGCTCAATAAATTAATAGACCAATTCTCTTCCCCTTTTCCTTCATTCATTCGGTTAACATTTTCTGAGCCACCTGCTGAGAGCCGGGCGGTGAACCCAGGCTCTGATGACACTCAAATGAATAAGACTCACACCAGCCCATGGGAAGCTCGCAGTCTAGAGCGAGGAGGGTGGGAATGACAGACATATAAACTAACGAGTATGGCACTGTGTGAGAAGTGCTGTAACTCAGGCGAACACAGTGCTGTGAGAGCCCAGAGGAAGGAGGGATAGCTCCCATCAGTGAAGTCTGAGAAGGCTTCCAAGGCGGGTGGTGATTGAGCTGACTCTTGAGAAGAAAAGAAGAAATCCTGTGTGCACTGGAATGAAGTTTGGGGAGGAAATGGCAGGAGGAGGAGAAAAGTGGGCACAGAACTAGTGTGCAGAACATCTCCCCTACTGCTTGTTTATCCTGCAAGCAACAGGAAGGCCTCGGAGGTTGTTAAGGAGGAGTGATGTAATGATTCCTGCGGTGTGGAGGGCTGTTCCCATCCTGAGACCCAGCTGTGACCATGGAAACAGATAACAAATGGAAAGGTCATGAGACTAGCAATGACTCATACTCACCAAGTGTTTGCCAGGGTACCCTGCCTCCTCCCTGGTCTCTTCCTCCAGAACTGGGATTCCCAGAGATGAAGGGAGCACAGCATCATCCACAGAGGAGGGGAAAGGCAGCCAGCGAGCACCTGGCCATGGACTGGGCAAGTGCAGAGATGGCCCCTGCTTCCGAGAACTGGCACGCATGCTGCATGGGGAGGAACGAAAGAGTCACTCAACCCTTTCCAGGTTTAGACACTTGGGTCATGAGAAGTAGGCAGCAACTGGCAAGCACTTTCACTGGTTCAGACCAAATCACCAGAAGTTCTGTGACCTTCCCGGGAAGACAGCTGTCCTGGGGATGGGAGATGGGGGTTGTGCAGGAGTGAATCTAAAACAAGGTGAGGAAAAGGAGGGCAATGAGGCTGAAAAGGGTAGACTGTGTAGGTCAACATGGTAGGAGAAACGTTATACTACCTTAGTGTCATGAACAAGGAACTGAAACTTGCAAGTAATGGCGGAGCTTAGGGTAGAGATGCATGTCATACAGCCTTTCAACTCTCCTGGGTATGGGCCATGATCAGCTCGTTGGCAAGAGGGTCAGTTACACACATACATGTGGATGTTTGCTACAGGCCTTCTTATCTGGGGCTAGGTAGACAGTCTTGAGGATTTCCCCCTCCCCTCCCTAGGCCTAGGTTTACAAACCTCTGGCTTACATCTCTGACGGTGTCTGTAGGACTTGGTCCCACATCAGCTCTAGCCATCTGTGCACAGCCTGGCCTGGCTACGGCCTTTAGCTAGTTTTCAGAGCATGGCCCTGCCTGCCACTCCACCCCTTTACCCCTGTGAGCAGCAAATAGCCTTCACCCCCAGATGAACTCTTCTGTGCTCCAATCACTGTCTCCTTATCTGAGTCACTCTTATCTATTAAAGGCCATCCCAACTGTAGGCCAGCCCTGAGCAAACATGTACAGTTGGTCTCAGCACCCCTCCCCTCAACTATCAATTTTTTAAGAAACCAATAGTTTCTCTGCCCTGGAATAAAATGCAGTCCAAATAATTTCATCGTAAAATACTGATGACTTCATACATCAGTCTGTAGAAGACCGTTGGCACTATGGTCTCCATAGACCTGTGGAGAGAACAATGCTTAGCACAAAGGAGTGGACGGTAATAGTCAGCTTTTAGGTAGCACTGCAAATTCATTTTACACGTGCAGCATCCCCAAACCCTACAGGTCCTCCTCAGTAATCTGTTAGGCTATGAAAGTAAGTAACTGAAATGGTTGAGATACATGATGGTAAGATCTCGAGTCTGGAAGTCTAAGAAATTTGCAGCTGAGCCATCAATGTGCAAGTTGTTACTTCTAGCCTCTAGATCCATTCACCATCCCTGTGCGCGCACATGCACGCACACACACACCCTGCTTAGTGACAGAAGTGAGAGCTCCCTCCACTGAAAGACCTTGATTCTGGCCCTGATGTAGGATGTTACCCACGTGACTTCACAAGGACGCTGTAGATCCATAAGTTGACATGCTGCGGACAGGCCAAGGCAGGCACCTGCTGACCAGACGCGGGCAGCGGTACCTGCTCTGTGCCAGGCACAGATAGACATGGTCATTAATGTCCCCTAAGACCCCAGTAAGGACAGCCTTAAAGTTGGCACTTGAGATTTAGATAGTATGCAAATTTTCTAACCTTATTTTATGAGTTGTATATTTTTATATGTATTACGAAAACTAGAACCAGCACAAGTTGCCATAAAGTTTCCTTCTAAAATAGATTTAAATAAAAAGTAAGCCAATTTATGTTTTCAAAAATGTCAGTGTATAATAGCACAGCCCGTGCTTGGGCATGACAAAAATCGTCAAGAAGCCCCCCAGTGTGGGAGGACGAGCAGGCCTGTGGAGAAGCTCGCTCCAAGAGTTGTCTGGGTGCAGCAGACGCTTCCCACGGTTAACCTTGAAACCTGTCCCATGGCCAGTGCATTAGAACTCATTCATTCTAAATAAACCCTCTGACATCGGGCAGCAATGAAGTACGTTTCAACACGGGCAGTGCCACACCTGTGGGTACTTTCAGGCATTGGTGTGAGGCCCTGGGCACAGTGGGGACCCAACGTTGACAGCAGGCTGCGCACTTGGCCCGTGTTCTCCCGCTGAAGCCTCACGACGTCTCCTGGAAGGAAAGCAGATGTTATTTCACTCCAGCCTGCAGGTGAGGGCCTGAGTTCTCGGAGGAGCCAGAAAGCCATGCAGGATCCTACAGCTAAGCACATACCCTAACTTCACATGCCTCCTCCCCTGGCCTTGACAGCCCCTGGACTGTCTTCAGATTTGTAGCAGGATTTGAATGGGGGGAATAAAAGACAACTTTGGGAATTTTAAAATTAATCAAGTAAGGTAGGGTGAGCAAGTGAGTTCTTCGATAATCAAGAGTGTAAAGGCCCAGGCCTTAAAGAAGAATAGACAATACTCTATTTCAGGCGCTGACTGCAGCCAGCTAGTGTTCTCAGCTTGTTGTCTCTGTTAATTCATTTCATTCTCACAACAAACCCATGAGGTCGCCACCCTACTTACATGTGAGGAAATGGGAGCTTGGAGAGATCCAAAAGCGTGTTTACTATGTTTTTCTTAAAAACTGCATTTTTCGTGAGTAGTCAGTATGATGTAAAATGGCACATGTCACAGGATCCGGGGGTGTAGATCCTTGTCTGACTGCCACTGACTTCCTGTGCGACCTTAAGACATTTATGACTCCGGGTCCTGTTTCCAGAAAAAAAGGATCTATTTTTTAAGAAGAATTTAGGCTAGGTAATTGTTAACATTTATTCCAGCTTTAAATTGTATACAAGTTCGAGAGAGGAGAGCAATTCACTTTCAGTTGCTTTTCGCCATCCCCTCCCCACGTCATCTTACCTTTTCCTCCTTGAACTGAAAATCAGGAGAAGAGCCAAAGCCTAGAGTGTGGGGTTAGAGAAGGGTATGTGGGTTTTCTGTGTATAATTATAGTTATTTAAAAGATATTTAAAGAATCACTTCCTGACACTTCAGCTACTGACTCATTAGCAGAACTGGAAAGAATTTTTAAGGAAACATGAGTTGTAGAAATGTATTTTGTATATAGGCAATTAATAGAATTAAGTGAGTAAAGTTCTTCCACGAAGTATCAACAATGCCCTATGAGTTCATAAAACATAACTACAAAAAGAAAAACAGCCCAGGCAAACATTGAACATGAGTAACAGAGCATTTGGTTTTTAGCAGCTGGACAAAGAGGAATTCATTTATTTCTTGAGCTTCTCCTAGGAGTGTAGCTCCTACTAGCATTGTGCTAAGTATGTCCTAGGATAAACCCAGAAAAAACAAGGATCGCCCAGGGTAGTGGGGGCTGGGGTGTGCACAGTAGGAGGTAAGCCAATCAATCACTATGCAATGTGGTAAATGCTAGTATAAGAAGTTGTCCTGCCTCAATGAGTCAGAAAAGGTTACACAGAGGAGGCAACATCAGTTGGGCCTTTAAGGATGAATAGGAGTTTGTGAGCAAAGAATAGAGAAAGGGTATTCTCAGCAGCAAAAACAGTGTGTCCAAACGCTGGTTTCTCAAGAAGCCTGGGGTATCAGGGCAACACAGATCTTTGTGGGAAGAGTATGGAGAGGAGAATGTTGATGAGGCTGGGAAGAAAGTTTGGGTCAAGTCATCAAAGGCTAAGAGTTTGTATTGATTATACAGGCAAGGGGAGGGAGTTGGTAAAGATTTTTAAGCAAGGTCTTTACATGATGACCTTAGTAAAGATGATTAGAATGGACAGGGAGAACAAACTAGTGGAGAGAAACTGGCAGTGTTTCTAATCTCTGCTGATCCCCAACGGTATTTCACAATCTTTTTACTACTCCTTGCTCAACTCCTCCATTCCAAACCTTTGTCACCTCCTCAAACTGCCGTATTTCTCTCCTTCCCACAGTACAAAAAGTCCTGCCTTCTCCATTTAAAAGATGTTGGGGCCACTTGACTTGAATTCTTAAAACTTCTTATCTTCCCACATCCAGATGTCTCCATCACACCCATCCAAATATTTTCCATCAGACGCGGAGGTGAGAGGAATCCTCCAGTTGGAGGTCAAGCCCTCCAGTGCTTCCATAAGCCCCTTAGCCTCTTCTGTCCTTTTTCAGAATTTTCCAAAGCGTGGTCCACCTTCTTTCTCCTCTTCCCCACCTCACATCTTCTCAACTGACTGAATTCTGGCTTTTTCTCCTACCATTGTAATGAAATTGATTTCACTCAAGAAAATGGCCGTTGAACTCATGATTTCCAAATTCAGTGGAGCCTCGAGGACCCGTCTAACAGTGTGAACCATTCTCTTCTGTAAACCCACCATTC